ATATATATATATATATATATATATATCACTGGATTTTCACCTCCAGATCACCCAGTCTGACATAATACTCAAGGAAAAGAGAGATTAGTTCAGAATTGGTTGATGAAAAACAGTAATAAACAGTGGTTACATAGCTTTATTTTAAGGTGGTACATTTGAAAATAAAATCTAGGCCAGGATTTATAAAATCTACAGAATATTTTTGATCTGATGATGGTTGAAACCACAATGCATAGCTCATAGATATAGGGGACTAACTATGCATCATTACTAGGATGAAATCTGCTTTCCATTACAGAGATTCCTTTGTTACTAGAGCAAGAAGTTCACTTCAGACAAATCTTGCTACTCTAAATAGATCTGTCCCAGATAAATTTGTTATTTCAGCATGTAAAGTCAGTACCTGATTTCTTATTTCAAATTTATGAGTTGATTGAAAATTACTCTGCACATATTACAAATATTATGTGTATTTGTATAGCTTTATGAGTATATTTCATGTTTGTAACAAAGATTTATGTTATACATTAGATTTCCTAGGATCTCTAAGTTCCTTGCTATTCTGAACTTTTGTTCCATGATATGGAAACACTCATTTCTGATAAAATTTTGTGAATATGGTGTACATTTTAAAATATGTTCTCCTGGGAAGTGACATGAAACAAAGCAAATCAAGTTTCTGTATTTTTCATAAATATTTTTCAATTTTGCCCCAACCCCAGGTGACTTAACTTTATTGGTAAAATCTATGTTAAATTTATTAAATATCTGTACATAAGAAAAGCTGAATAAAAATATTGTGTGCATAAAGTAAACTGAATAAAAGGCAGTGGGTATATGGAGAACTGTATATGATCTACTCTAGATACTATAATAGCTATTATTGTTTTAAAATATATCATAAAATCTAATTTTTGCCTGTGTGACCACGAGGTGTTGAAGGGATCAGGTAGCAGACACCAAAGAACAAAAACCATCATTGTGTGATCACCTTCCCCACATAAACGCTAAAGACGAATGTGTGCATAAGTAAGTGTGGTGAAGAAGGCTGATGGTGCCCGGCTA